CTGAGCCTTAGTGGCTCCATCTGCAAAGGGGACAGTAAGAGGGCCTGCCTCAAGGGACAATCCAGAAACTTCTGAGTTTGTGTTCAGCCAGCGCCAACCTAGTGCTGTCTTCGGGATGTGGGTTGCTGGTGATGTGGGCCGGGCCACTGAGGGTGGGCACTGGGCAGTGGTAGGTGAGCCCATGGGCCTGATGGACACTGAGGACCTGGTGGTAGTCTCCATGTGGAAGAGTCCTGGGAGATTTCTGGGTGCTGTCTCCTGTAGTCTGGGCCTAAGAACCTGACTTTCCTGCCCTCTAAGTGGGCAGGCCAGGACTCTGTCCTCTCAGCAGTTTATGGGGACTTGTGTGCCTGCTCCTGGTAGTAGCTGGAAGCTGCTGGGAGCAGGCCAGGGGGCAGGGTTTGGGGAGGCGACATCTGAGGAGGGCAGAGAAACTTCTGGAGGGTTCCGAGCAGAGGCAGCTGTGAACCCAGATCGGGAGGGGTCGAGGTGCAGGAGGGCCTGGCTGGGTACACAAGGCTGGGTGGAGCTGGTGGCAGAGGTTCATGGCCCAGTAGACGCAGTGGAGAGAGCACTTTGGGGTGACCCTGCACCCCCCTGCTCCCTATGACTACCTCCCATGAAAGCCACCAGCCCGGTCACACCTTTTAAGGACCTGGCAGCTCCACCACCTCCCTGTCCCCGCTTGCTCAGAAATTCCCCACAGGTCTTTTAGGATTTTTTCCAGAGGAATGGAATGAGGCTCCTGGTTCTGTCCCCGCAGGATTCCAGAGAGGCCCGTCGGGGTTCAGGGGAGAGTTGGCAGGAAGCCCCCAGATGGTCTCTTAGGAAGGAGCACAGACAGGCAGGGCAGGACCCCTGAGCCAAGACCCGGAGGGACACCCAGACACACACACACAGACAGAGTCCCACAGTCACAGGGCCACAGCCAGCCCGTGCTGAGCCCTGAGCTAGGGGCCTGGGGGAGCTTACGGCCCTGCCTGCGGGGCCACCTCAGGCCCGAGCACCCTCCCCAGCCTTCCCACCTTAGGGCCTGTGCACCTTCGTTCCTGTCACCCTGTGTGTCCTCCCCACGAGCTTATGCCCCCTGCTGCACCCTCTACCCAGGTGCAGGACTTTCTAGCCGCCTGTTTGGTCCCCATCACTCATAACATGCTCTTACTTCGCTCTGCGTCCCTATGCAGGTACTGCTGCCCCCCGCCCCCACCTCCACTAGACCATAGAGGACAATGTCTGGGTCTTCCTGACTGAGGGACTGACTGACCGACTGATGGACAGACGGACTGGGGAAGGCCCACCTGGTTTGTCACAATGGCAGCCAGCCAGGTACCGGTGTCACCCGGGGTCAGCTTTCACAGCAACGGCTGAAGTGTCCCTGTGCCGTTTCAGAAGAGGAGGCTGTTCTGGGATGTCGGCCACCCCCCTAGAGGATGGGGACATGGGACACAGGGTCAACAGCCCCCGGCAACAAGCCCCAATAGGGCGTCTGTGCACACGCGTCATGGCTTTGCTGTGCCTCTGCACATGCTTGCGATGTTGGACATGTGACACGTGTGTGTGGGTGTGTGCATGTGTCCTCTCCTGCTCTCTCCTGCCCCTCAGGGGCTATGTCCTCTGGATAGCAGGACCCTGGGTCAGCCTGTTTACCAGCACCCAAGCACAGCCAGGGTGCTGCCTCCCTGGGAGCCTTGCCTCCCTGGGCCAGGCAGGTAGCGAAGCTCCCGGGCCAGCCTAAGGGTGAAGGGCGGTCCACAGGCAAGGACAGGGTTCCATCCAGATCTGAGAGACTGGCCAGTGCCAGGACAGGGTCCCCTGCCTGGTTATGTCAATGAATCACTACATTCCCGTGTGCCTGCCCAGATCCTGGCGGGAAGTCTGACACCCCCAACTCACCCGATCCCCACAGCCAGCCCACTGAACTGTGAGGGGCTAGTTCTGCCCAGGCCTTCACTCTCTCACCCCCTGGTGGCTCAGGCCTGAAGTGCAGCTCCGGCCCCTCCGGCCCATGAGGGAGGGAAGTTGAGCAGGGGAGGGGCTGCCCCTGGGGTAGACCCCCACACCAAGGACCCTTCTGAAGCCCAGAGTTGGGCCTTAGGTCTGACGTCCCAAGAGCAGGCCCAGAGCAGGCTCCCCCGAAGGTGGTGAAGACCCCTTCCTGGGCACCCTGGCCCTATGTGAACCCAGTGACCAGATACCTCCCTCTACCACCTCTGTGACCTTGACCGTGCCAGCACCTCAGCTCGCTCCTGCCACCGAGCTCAGTAGGAACTGGGCAGTTAGGGCCGGTTTTCTTAGAGCGATCTTCTCTACTAGAGCTGCACCTTCAGAGGGCCACCCCAACTCTAGTCTCCCTCTGTGGGGACCTGCTGACCCTGCACTGAAAGGGATCTTCGTCTTGATGACCCTCTGCTGTACCAAGCATGACCCTCTGCTTTACCAAGTCTTCTCCAGGACTGGTCTCTCTAATGACCTGTCCCAACTACATGTGAAGAAGTGTCTCCACCCTCGCTTCTACGGTCCTTCTTCAGGACCGTCCTGTCCACTCCTCTGGGCAGCCTGCGGTACCACCACCACGATGCAGCCATCGATTCTGCTCTGGTCTTTGCTTCTGAACACTTCCCAGAGGACTTTGCAACATCGGCTAGGCCGGATGCGTCATTTGATTACGTGGCTGCTGCTTCTGTGGGCACTGACTGTGGACCCAAGCAAGATGAAGTCCTTAACTTCAATCTTATGTTGATTGTGATGTTGCCTATTGATCCCGCTGAGGGCTTGTTGTACGTTGAGGGGTAGTCCCTATGAAAAGCAGGGGTCACCTCTTGGTTCCCAGCGAGAGGTGGCGGCGTCTGCACACCCCAGGAAACACAAGCTTCCTCCGATCCTGACACCACGTCACAGGGCCCAGCTTTTTACAGTAGTTGTTCAGCATTCTGTTGTCAGGGGCCGAGTGGGGACCCTGGTCACAACAGAACAAACACAGCCCGGGCCTGCGCGTCCTCACAACTGTTCCTGTGCCTGCACTGACTGATGCAGCCACTGGGCCCGTCCGTCGTGTCCCGTGCCCCCACTGTTTAGCCGAGTAAGGACGGTGGGTTTAGAACCCTGATGTACAGTTGGTCGGACTTAGACCGGTGTCTACCTTTGTTCTGCTCAAACAATTGCCGCTTGGTCCATGCACAAGCTCCGTCCACACGAGCAGTGAAGTCCCGTTTCTCGTGTTGTCTTTGATTGGTTATGGTCCACACAAGCGTGTTTGGGTTGGGATCCTTTGCTTTCAGACTGTTCTTGGAATGGCCTCAGGTGGGATCTACTCAAGGTCATCCTTTAGCTCTTCAGCTTCAACTCTGAGCAATTCTGACTCAGCACCCTGCAGGATAGGGCCGAACTGCCCCGTGGGGTTTCCAGGGCTGGAAGTCCTGCTAGTCCCCAGTGGGTCAGCTAAAAAGCAGATGACCCTCCAGGAGATGGATCGCACCAAGGATTGTGCAGGTAGCTGTCACAGGTGATTGTACCCTGGGGTCACTGAGAACTGACTCAACACCACCTGACTACATGCCTCACTCTCCTGGAAATCTGCTTTGCAGCTGTTTTGAGTGAGACCACATAGCAAAGTCCCAAGGCCTTACTCCTTCCACATCACTAAGCTTTCTTCCCCTATCACATCCCACCTTCTCTCCATGTCCCACTGCTCTTCCCAAGGATTAACGTTTTGGAGAAGTTTTAGTATGGAAGTTCGTCTGAGACCTGCCCACCTGAGTGAACCTGAGTGCTTTCTGCAGCCCAGGCCACTACAGCACAGGGTGGGAGTACCAGGCCCAGGAGCCTTCTCGGTGTAACCTATTCCCCCAGGCAGAGCACCCAGAGGGAGGCCACAAGCAATGGGCCAGCAGAGCACATCATCGTGGGCCACGGGGCAATACCCCTCACAGCTGCCACCCACTGGCCAGTGGAGAATTGCATGGACTGGTTGCAGTGAGGGTTCGAAGTAGAAAGGCCAGGCCACTTACTTCTTGAGAATCTACGAAAGCCCCACAGGTCACAAGGCCAGCGAGATTATCCACTGCACAGGATCAGGGCAGCGGGTCCCAGCGGTGCCAACTACCAAGTTCAGCAGTTTGAAACCACCAGGAACCAAGTGGGGGAGCAGACTTTTATTCCCAGTCTCAATAGTTATGTGAGGTCAACTAGTCAGCAACAGAAGCCAACATTGGAAACCTACTTATCCCCTGATAATCGGCTGGGTGCTACTGAAACTGCAAGACTTGAGCTGAGGACTGAGGCGGGTGGCAATGGCTGCTGTTACAGGTTTCAGTTATGCTTCAAGCAGCTGCCTTCTACTAGTCGTGTGTGCACAGTAGGACTGGCTAGAGGCAAATCCAGAGGCCAGGAGCTACTGGAGGGCAGGTAGTGCTGTTAGTAGTTCTAGACTACCAGCTGCTACCATGGCTCATCTTTGGGGGGAAAAAAATCCAAGTTCTCAGGAGCCCCAAGAGTGTAGCAGGACAGCACTGTGTCTGCATGCTCCCCCTGCACCAGGAAGGTGAGGCTTTGGGTGTTTTCCTAGGACTCCAGCTGCTACTGGGCAGGGCTGGGCAACAAGCACTTTGGAAGCTTGTGGCCACCACACCCTCCCCCACCCACATGGCAGGTTATCTGAGGACCTGACAGGCCTGGACTGGAAGCTGCAGTTAGAATGTTGTGAGCTCTAGTGAGCTCCTTACACTTTAATAGCCTGTGAGGGTTGGCCTGGGGGAGGCCCAAGAGCCCAGCACATCCCCCTTGCCCTGGGCACCTGTACCAACAACTATACCTGCTGGGGACCAACGGCACCCGGCTTGGGTTGAGACCAGGTGCTTGGGTTGAGACCAGGTGCCGCTGAGAAGCAGCTCCTGGGGCAGCCAGGAAATGCAACTCTGCCCCCTGCCCCCTCCACCCCCACCCCCACCCAGCCAGGCAGGACAGAGCTGCTTTTCCCTGAAGACAAAAAGCACTCAGGCCAGTCACTGGAAAAGAAGTCTTTATTCTGATCCCACCAGATACACCATCTGTTATGCGCCTTCTTCCTTGGCAATTCGGTCTTTCTTGAGTGGTCCCTGCAGGGAGACGGAGAGATGGTCAGAGGTGAAGGAGCCAGAGATCCCGCAGCCCACCAATCCTTGTGAGACGACCGAGACACACGACTTCCCTCCGGCTTGTAAGGCTGTGATCCTTCTAGATGCAGCAGGCCCGCTCTGACTAGACTAGGGCCTCCTCTAGCAGCATTCCAGGTCCCCCAAACTGTAGCCACGGCTTGGAGAACCCTTTCTAACAGGGACCACCCCTCACCCCACCTCGGAGCTGGCAACCCCTGCCCTCCAGCCCAGAGCAGCTCACCATGAAAGCTTTCTTCTCTTCCACGGTCTGGAAACGGCCATGGCCAAACTTGGAGGTGGTGTCGATGAACTTGAGGTCGATCTTCTCCAGGGCACGGCGCTTGGTCTGCACCAGCAGGGACTGCAGGACCAGAGGTAGCCTTACTTGCAACACGGCCCCTCACCCATTCAACCTACAGGGCCCGCTTCCCTCCCTCTCCCACAGCTCCTGGGCCCAGGTTCCTACAGGACTCCCAGCTTGCTGCTGTAGAAGCCCATGAACAGACGCCCCCCCAGAAGGGCCCAGCCTCACCTTGCGCAGAGTGAGCACTCGCTTCTTGGTCCCCACCACGCAGCCCTTCAGCATGACAAAGTCGTTGGTCACTTCACCATAGTGGACAAAGCCACCC